GTGGTTTTGAGCCTTCAAGTCAGAGCTCTGAACAGGTGCACCAAGACACTGATCCCCTCAGCCCTTGGTGTCTCTGTGAGCGGCCCTGTTTACACCAGCAGGCCACACACATACCACCTCCATGTGAGTCACAGTGTGGAAAAACATGGGAATGCTGCCTTGGACCTGGTGTCAGCAAACTGTCTTGGAAAGTCTAGGCAGTAAATTTTTCAGGTTCATGGCCCATTTGCTTTGTCACAGCTACTCAGCTCTGCCCTCGGGGCACCAGAGTGGCCAGAGGCAGTGCATAAAGACAACGAGTGTTGCTGTGGACTGAAAGGCTTCACTTACTGAACAGGTGTAAGTATAGGTGGGCCATACTTTGCCGATTCCTGCCTCAGGCTGTGATTACTCGCCCTCTGGCTTAGTCGTGACTGGACACTTCCTCCTGTCTGCTGCACGGACCACCTATCTTTCCACAAAGGCTTCCTGAGCATCTGTCCTGTGTGAGCCATGAGGATGAGGAAGGTGCAGTCCTTGCCCGTAAGGTCCCTAGGTTTTGAGTGAGAGGTGGGCACTGAGGGAGCAGGTGGCTGAAGAGGGAACTACAGGACGGGGCTGAGGCGTGGCCGAGGGTGAAGCGGGAGAGCCGGGCAGGGGGCAGCTGTGTAGAGGACGGCGGGCTGCACGGGCGAGTTGGGCCCAGCCTGGGAGCTGAGGAGTGTGGGCTGTGTTCTTGGCCAGAGGGTTGTTTGTGCTCAGGACGGCAGTGATCACAGATGCATTTTGGGGAGTATCCTCTGGTTGTTGAAGACTGTGTTTTTGGTTACAAATGGTATCTTTCAGTTCAGTTGACTTTTTAGCCAAGGGTTTGGTTACTACTGTTGGCACTCAAGTGGGCAAGAGGCCTAGAGAATTGGGAAGCTTTTCTGGCCACCGGCCTTAGTGGGCCAGGGAGTGCCACACCTTTTTAACATGACAGCCTGATAAAATCTGCCGTCTTCAGGCTCCTCTTGCTGTACTGAAGACAGCTTCGAAGGGCAAGAAGATGAAACATTCTGTCTCAAGTCTAACACTGGCTCGGGGCCTCAGTGTGTACGGAGGTGAAAGTGCTAGGAACGGGCTTCCCCTCTGTGTGGCCAGCACACAGGAGAGCCTTCAGAGATGCAGGGAGCCGACAGCTGCGAAGCAAAGCTTCTCAGCAGGTGAAGGGAACTGCTGTTGACGGAGTACCTGGGAGGTTCCAGGGACGTGAGCTGCCAACTTTCTCCTTTTACCTGAAGTTGGGGGAGGGTGCCGGCTGTGCGTGCAGCGTCCAGAGAGGCCGGGAGGGCCGGGCCGCTTGCGCTGCTGTTTCTTGGAGCCCTGACAGGCCTATGGGAGCAGGTGAGAATCACGTGCTGCACAGGGAAGGGAAGGCAGGCGCCTGAGGCCCGAGGCTGACAGGAGGCAGCTTCACAGGAGGCTCAACCAGGGCAGCTCTGGCAGCACCGGGCTGCAGACACGGGTCCTCCGGGGAGCGAGGGGCTGAGGGATTTGGTGCGGCCCCGGCCCCGAGTCGTGGGGCGGACGTGGGGAGGGGGACCTGGGAGGGTGGTGGGGTGCTAGGTAGGGAATCTCTCAAACCTTAGGGAATCGGCTGTTCTGAGTGAGGTCGTGTCTCGTCCACAGGCGGGGGCTGTGGGAGGAGGAGCTGCGGCTCCAGGGCACACATGCTGTCACTGGGCTCGTCCAGCTCCTGTTCTCTTGGGGAACGGGCCTCTGCATTCTGCTGCCTGGGGCAGGGGGCTCTTAGGATGACAGCAGGTGCGTCACTTCCCGTCTCTAAGGCGCGCTCCTTGTGTCTTCTGGGCTCTTGAAAGGGAAAGGACAAAGGCAAGCCGGGCGCGGACGGAGGTCGGGCCGACCTGTGAAGCCAGGTGTGGTCCCATCAGGCAGCCCGGCCTGTGCTGCGGCTCTGGCCTCTCCGGGAGGCTCTTGTCTGCAGGGCACCATGGTCCCTTCTGGAGCTCGAGCCTGGCCCCCGCCCACGGTCATAAGCTCAATGCCATCTGTCTCATGTTCCTGCTCAGGGTAACAGGGGAGTTTTTCTCTTTGATTCTTACCTAAATATTTCTACTGTTCTGGGAAGCCAGTTTTTTTTCCCTTGTTCCTGGAAGTGAGTCACGGAGGAGTTTCAGACAGCTAAGACCACTGGCTTTAAGAAGGCCTTTGTCCACGTGTAGTTTATAAAGACAGCTGCATCTTCAGCGTCCAGCCTTCCCCCTACTTCCCTTCTGCACGGCTTGAGCTCACTGCACTTCCAGGCTGAGCGCCGTGCCTCTCCTCCCGAGAAACGGGCCCCTGCTGCTCACAAACACCTGGGGCTGAAGGAGCTATGGTTTGGTGGGTCAGTGGCAAGACAACGCTGATCCAGATCCGCTCCCTTCCTTGACACACTTGTGTTGCTCTGTAAGCCGCCTCCACCACCTCACCAGCCCCCTTGGGCTGTGGCCCTGACCCACAGGTGGTGGTGACCACCCACACACGAGGCACGGTTTAGAATTTAGTCGGGCAAGCCCTGGGTCCCAATACCTCTTCTCTAACCTGCCAGGCCAGGAGCGCTGGCACCACACGCTTCCCTTTCCTGACCACAGCGGCATCTCGTGCTCAGACCAGCCCTGTGCAGTCAGGCGGGGTTCACACTGCACCCCTACCTCTTAGAGGAGACACTGAGTACTGCTTATTCCCTCATTCACGTAATGTGGTAGGTTCTCAAACAGCAGGCATCCTCAGGGCTCCTGACTGGGGCCTTATTTTCTGCATCTCCCAGGAATCGGGTGTGGCTCTGGCTGGCTTGTGAGCTGTCTCCAGCCTCCAGATGGACTTCCTTTTTGGGGCAGGGGCTTGAGGCGGCAAAGGGAGTGCCTGGTCGAGGTGGGATTCCTCTGCCTCTGTCCCTCCTTGTCTTCTAGTGAGTCACCTGCCTTGGGAAGACTTCATTTACTTCAGCCTTTAGCAGTGTTTATCCCATTTTCCCCAAAGTATCTGTAAACTCAGGCCTTTTACCAGGGACCATCTGGCTTGTGCTGAACCTTTGTCCTTGGTAAGTGGCTGGTTGGGGCCCAGCCACACCTTCAGGAAGACAAATCTCCTGAGGCAGCTCTAACTGGGGTGGGGCACTTTCAGGAATAATGCGGTTGATGGGCCTGGTCCCAAGGGTGCTCTTGGCAGGGTGCACTGGGGTAGGGGTGTCCTGCTCTACCTGCCCTGTAGTGTTCTTGGAGAGCAGCCTCTAAGACTGGCCTCTCACCCATTCCAAGCAGAACTCACCGTCTGGGAGGGAGGCAGGAGGCGGCCAGTCTAGACCTCATGAGGAGTGAGGGGGCCCTGCTCAGTCTTAGCCTTTCCTCAGCCCCCGGATGGGGGCTCAGGAGGCATGGAGAGAGAAGGCCAAGTGTAGCTGTGGGTAGAAAACCTTTCCCTACTGCACGGTTACACACACGGCATTGGACTCCTGGCTGTAGCTTATTCTCACTCTGGTGATGGCCAAGGTAGTTTTTAGAAATCTACTTGAGTACCTATCTGTATCTGTTTACTGTGTTTTTTCTGAATACGCAAGTGTAAATAGCATTATTTTGCATTGCAAAGCCCTCGGCAGTAACTCTGTGTTGTGTACTATGTTAAATGACAACGGAGACCGCTGCCACCATGGATTGTCCTCCCCCTCTGGGGCAGTGATTGCACGCAGGACTGAACTTTAAACCTTCGGCGTGGTTGCAGCAGCAGCCTGCATATGTGGACTGTCCCCAGTGCCTCGCCCAGATGCCTGGCCTTCTTCATCTACAGGGACGCTCTGCACCCCGACTCCCACAGGCCGCGCCCACACTGGGGATCCTCTGCACTGTGTTGGACTCTTGCAATAGACTGACCCTCTTGTCTGGCTGCTGAAGTTTGTAATGCCCTGACATGTTGCATTTCCCCCTTTTGGATGAATAGAAATAAACGCTTCTGTCTTCAACAGCAATGGGCTGAACTGTTCTGTGCAAGGACTTACTGTGGTCAAGAGAAGGCTCTTGACTGATGACAGGGTCAAGTGCAGAAGCACTTTCCTGGCCCTGAGGACACTCTACCTCAGTACATGTGGTAGGATCTTCCCTTCAAGCAAAGGGATGAGGAGCCAAGGCCTAATTCCCATCCCTGTTTACGGTCCTTGGAACCCTGCTTCTCTGCTAATAGTACAAAAAGTTTACTAGACCTGCAACTTCGACCTGGCATCCTGGCGCAGTGAGTGGTGAGCTGGGGATGCTGAGTGACTGCTGAAGGAATCCTCAGCTTAGAATTTACCAGATGCTCTTCGCACACCTACCTCACTCTTGTCCTGACACCCACCACCCAGGGTTGGCATGACCCAGACACTACAGATCAGGACACGAATGCTCAGAGATGAAGGTACTTGCCCAAGGGAGCAGACCTTCTACTAAATGGCAGCAGCAATTTGAAAACAAAAGCCGAAGCCCTTCCTACTGCTCCTTCCCTGCAAGGGTCTTGCAGCCCAGCTGCCCCAGTAACTCAGAGCCTAAGACCACGGTAAGGCCTCAGCCCACCCCAGGGAGGGGGTCTTAGAGGGAGCCAGGCCAGGGCCTGCTGCTGCCGGCCCCCAGGTAAGTGCACAAAGGCTCCGGGTGTGTTCTGACTCTGGCTTGCCTTCCCTGCACACCCTTCGCTAGACTTACCACCACACCAGCACGGACTGCAGCAGAGCTGGCCAGGCTGGCTCACAGGGAGCAGCCAGTTCTTGCTTTGGGGCCCTGGGAGAGGAGGTGGAGGTGGTGGCACCTGGTAGAAACCCCAGATCTTGTGATCATGGGCAAGTCTTTTCACTTTTACTTTCAAGCCGGGGGAGGACATGACTTAACTCCTAGGGCTCATAAACCTACAGCAGCGAGGCCCACACAACCCCCAAGGGTCTGCAGGTGCTGCCACCTCCAGCCTGTGTTTCCCAGACTGCCACAGAGCCACACCCCGAAAGCTGCATTTACCTTCCTGCTGTGGCCTCCTCTTCCTCTCATCAACTCTCATTGATTCTCCAGGAGTTTTCCCCAAATGTGGCTGCCCTACTCCATCACCTCTCTTCAGACTCCTTTCTTCCTAGGGGACTGACAAGGAGTTTCCCAAAGTTATTAGTTTTTCTTAAAGCAAGTTGGCTTAAAATCTCTCTCCAGTTTTACCATCAAACTCCTTGGCCTGGATGCCTCAGCCTAACTACCTAGCCTCGCCTCCCATCACCCACCTCACTCAGACTACAGTGCTCATGACTGTGTCTTCCACCCAAACGCTGTCTTCTTGCCTCTCTAACCAGCAACTCCCCTCACCATCAGTGCAGTAAACGGTCACTCCCACTTGCCTCCCTTGTCATTACACACCCCCTCCTTGTTCCCACAGGGCCCCGCACACCTGTTAGTGCACTTGGCCTCCAGTGTCACAGTCCTTCTCAGTCTGGGTCTCCAAAGAACAGGGGACCTCCCTGTAAGCAGGAGCTTTTCTGAATCACATTAGGCCTGTGTGCCAAGGCTGACTGGCTGTGGGTGCCTTCCCCCATGCAGGGCACAGCTGCCAGGATGAGAACTGCCGCCCTCACTCCCTGCACTCCTTAACTCTGGGACCTCGGGCCTGGAAAAGCCTAGAGCAGAGCAGGCTGGCCCTTCTGGACTCACTCTTTCCCCAGTTGACCAAGAATGTGGGTCCCATAAATACGCCCTCCAGCCTGTGAGTGGCAAAGGGATCCTAAATGTGCCCTGGAGCCCCTGCCCTGGCCTCTGCAGAGCACCTGCCACAGCCGGGCCCTTGGCTGCCCCCACCCTGCTTCAGGGCAACTCACTCACCACCTTCCCCTCGTCGGGGCCTGCATCTCGGCCCGCTTCCATCGAAAGGCTGGGTGTAGGGGGGTCCTGGAGGGCAGGTCAAGCAAGGAGGGGACCTGTAGAGTTGGGGAAGCATTGCTCTTCTTCCTGCTGCAGAGAAAGGGGATGAGGTGGTAAAGGATGGCAGAGGGTCTGGGAGCCTCGTCCCTGTGGTGCCATAATGTGAGGACCACCAGTGAACCGAAGAAAGGGGCTTTCTCAAAGATGAAGCTGGCCATCCCACCACTTTTCCTGAAAGGTTTAACAGAACATAAGTGGACTTTGGGTACTTTGCTTTTCTGCTCTTTAGCTGTTTTCCCCTCATGTTCACAGTTGGGCCTGGAATCCCTCCCATCTCTGCCTGGTGAGATGCTTTGTCTTTCAAGGTCTTACCATACCCTTAACTCCTGTAAAGACTTCCCTCAACCCAAATACACAGATCGTATCTCACCGGTTATTTCTCACAGAGGGGCAGTGCTCATGGAGGCGCAGGCACAAGCCTCCCAGAGGACAAAGCCTGCATCTCCTCTCACCCCACAGGCCTGGCACATCTTGGCTGCTCGGAAGTGTCTGAGTGGATGAGTGGGAGGCACCGCTGGAGGCTCACACACACCTACTAAACGGCCCAGAGGGTGGTCTTCTCTGCCTGCCTGTGGGGGCGGGAAAGTGTGGGGCAAGAGCACATAATGATACAACTGACTTTTACAAAGCAGTTCTGTTTGTACCAAAATATTTAATGAATATGCTGTTAAAATAAAAGCAACAAAAGAAATAGTAATACAATTTTACTGGTTTATATTTCAGCTGATAAAGCTGACACACTGAAACTACCCTAGCACAAAGTCCACACACCTAGTTTTAGATGGGCTTACAGCTGTTTGGTAACTGAACAAGACAGACACAGAAAGCAGTGGAGGGGGTGGTTTTGGGGGTGGGGGGTGGTCAGAGGTTGCCCTTTGTTACCTCCCGTATCACAGATGACCTCAGCAAGCGTTAGTACAGCCAACAGGAAAATAGATACAAAACAATCCAAGTGTCTTTATATACAAACCAGTGCCTCTTAGAACCAGCTACCAGAAGACAACAAAGTCACCTGCGAGACAGCCTGTCAGCATTTCACTATATAAATTAAAAGTCTAAAGTTATTATTTTTTTAAAAAGGTGCTAAAACCTCCATTCCATAGTTTTGAAGTGAGAACTTGCAGCCCATCTGAACAGTGAGGTTCGCACCTAGCCTCACCCTGGGGAGGGCCCAGGGCCCAGGCAGGCAAGGACACAAGCCAGGAGCACGGGGGCCTCTTGGCCTGTGGGTCCTGCGAGTGCGTGCACGGATGGACACACACACACAGACACACACACACACACACCCACCCTCAGAGTCTTTCTCATCTGTACACTGGGAGCCTTGAAGTGAAGGAGCTCTTCACAGCTCTCGAACAGCCAGACGGAGAGCAGAGCCCGACAAACTTTGAGTGAAAATAAGTGCCCAAATAACCACATAATTAAGTTGTGCAGATCAGTCCTAGTCTGGGATTTAAACACTGTCAATTGGGTGCATTGGAAAAAGATATTTATATATATATGTATACACACACACACATACACACACATTAAGCAAAATAAGATTTGTCCAAGTTATGATTAATCCAGTCTCACAGTCGGTCAAGTCACCCACCCCAGCACTGTGGAGTCATTTGGCAGCTAACACTAAAAACGACAGGAACTATGAGAGTTGCATAGAATTGATCAGAATCATGTGAATAATGCCAAACCAAAAACCTGTGCATCGTAGAGTAACAAAACTAGGTGGCTTCAACTACAACCATGAAACCCTCCTATTTAAAACAAAGTGCTTCTCCATGTCTACCTGGAGGACCCTCTGCTGGCACTGAAGCAGGTAAGAATTATTTGAGTTAATGATTCCCTGCCCCCCCATATATATATATACATATATATATATATATAGTGTGTGTATTTAAAAAAAAGATTAAAGGTTTAGAAAAAAACCAATAGCCTGAAGGATCCCCAAACTCTTGATAATGTCAACTCAGCCCCTGGGCCTGGCAAGGAGCTGACCTACGCTGGAAAGCGGCCTGGGAGGTGACGCTGAGGAGTGACTTTCTAGAGCACGTCCAGAGCATCAGGTGAGCTGGCAGGCCTGTTAGTATCAGTAGTTAGGAGGCCTTACCGCAGAGGCTGCCTGCTTCATGAGCTCTGGGCCAGTGACCTACCGACATGCTTCTATGGATCTGACTTAGGTACATTCTGGTCCTGGGACATGTCACAGAATCACACATCTGGCCAAAGAAGGCAACAAAAGGTGTCGTGTTTTCTGAAGATGTCTGGAGGCAGCTCTGCTCTCAACAAGTCTCTTTCCCTTGAACGCCAGTTGCCGTCTTTATGGAGCTCAGTGTTCGGTTAAACCACGTCTTCTTGGCTGCCTGTACCTCATTCAGGGCAAGGCCTAAATGGTGCTCCAAGTCCTGGAAGAGGAATGATGTACATGAGGATGCTGGTCTCCAGTGCCAGTGACACTGCCTCCCTAGAGCTGAGCCAAGAATTCGGTCTATTTACTCTTGAGAAGCCTCTGGAAAGTCCCCCAGTCTCATACTGGCATAGAAAGATCTGGAGTGCCCAAAACTTTGGGATCTTTACCAGTTAAGACCTCCTCATTTCCTTCCTCGTCTACTTATTAAAACAGCCTCCTATCTGAGTGACTCCGTCTCTGTCCACCCACCGCAAACCAGGAGACAGACCTAATGCTCTAGTTAAGAACACACCATTAATTTCCAGCAAAAGCCTTTAAAGTCTAGACTAGCAAGGCATCCGGGATGCTTCACAAGCTGGACTGACCCACAGACCCTCTTCCAGCCTAGCACCCACCTCCACCCCTACTTCCTGAAGCTCCTCACTGGGCAGGCCCTCTGAGCTGCTGGACATGCCACGCCCCCCAACCAGGAATGCTCCCTATTCTTCTGCAGTTGCAACCCCTGTTCATTCTTTGACCACAACTCAGATACTGCCCATGGTGAGGCCTTTCCTCATTATCCTGGACAGTCACACAAGACATTATCTCAGCTTTGCTGTTCCAGTGCCTAGAACAAGGACTGGGCAAAGAGCAGATGCCCAGTGAATGTGTATGATGCAGAAGACCAGATCTTGAGCTTCAGTCCTGAACTTGGTTCCTTCCACAAGCAGTGCCTAGGGCCTACCTTGTGCTCAGCATTGGTGCTGACTGGAACTAGCCATGCAGTATAAAGATGACCAAAGTAAGCCTCAGTTTCTTCATCAGAAAAGGAGCCTCAGAAAAATTAGGTAACATGTCTAAAGCCACAAAGCTAGTTAAGTGATGGGAGCTGGACATAAAAGCTCCTATTTTGAAGCCCTCAGATGCTGTACTGAGCCGTTTCTGTGCATTATCTTATTTAGTCCTCAAAGCAAACTATCAGACAGGGACCCTCATCACCTCCACATGCAGATGGGGAACCGGAAGTGTAAAGAGGTTACTAACCCAAGGTCAAAGAGTGGTGGTGCAGCTGTGATTTCAAAGCTTGTGTTCTCTGCTCTACCTAAAAGGTGCCAAGTTTGATGGATAATTCTCATTATGAGAAAGTCCAATCCTTAGGACAAGCTATATACTCATTAAACATCCATACGTAAATAACAAGTAATGGACTTCTTCCCATGAGGACTGTGGTCAAAGTTTAAAAGGGAAAAAACCTCAAGCCATAAAAATAATTTCTGGGGTTTCTAGTGCACACGAAGAAATCCAGCCCACACACAGGAGCGGGTCCCACTGCACGGGAGCAGAAACAGCCTTTCACCCACTGCGGGCCTTGGAGTGGGGGCTGGGCCGGGCGTGGCTGTTACCTGTATCTTACACTCGGCTTCCACCAACTGCAGCTTGGTTTGTGCCAGCTCTAGTTCCATTTCTCTCAGCTGGTTCTTGAGCGTTTCCTTCTCCTCATCTGTGTCCTCATCTAAAACATCCTGAGCTGAGGTGACGCCCTTTATGCGCCCTTCTTTGTTGAAAAATTCACGGCAGCGCTCACAGTCATCCACTTTTTGCTGAAATTGAATGTCAGATGTGAACAAAGACAAAGAAGACGGGAAGGTGTGAGCATCTCCCTTCTGGGGAGCCAAGACATGGCTTCTCAGTTGAGCACGACAGCTTCTGAAAGACCATGTTCTCTCTGTAAACTGGCAGAGGGCCTACTCGAAAAGCCACCTGGTGGTGTATATCAAAAGCAACACAACTATTCTTATGCCTTGGTCCAGTAATCTCTCTTCTAGGAAACTTGGCTAGAAAACAATGAACAAGCAGTGACTACATAAAGATTTATGTACAAGGATTTTCACCGCAGAATCAGAGATAGAAGAAAAGGGATGGGAAGATAAAGTATCCAATTATTGGGAGAAATTACATTTATACAATGAAGTATGCAGCCTGTAAAAAATTTTTGAGGAATTTTCCTAACATGGTAAAATGTTTCAGTGCTGGGTGAACTAGGACACAAAAATGTATTTAAAGAATAGTTACAAATATATATCATATTTCATGAAAAAAAATGCCAATGACTGCAAGAAACATCATTTCGTGTTCTTCTAATAAAGTATTCTGCCAAATAAACCACAGAAAGCCATCAGTTACAAAACGTCCCAATTTTAGAGTAAATGTTAAAAAAAAAAGTGTATCTTAGAATGAAAGAAATTCTGTACACTAATGGAAGTACAGAACAAAGACTGAAAGCATATACACCAAAGTGTTAGTACTGATGTTATCTGAGTAATAATATAAGGGTTTTTATTCCCTCCTTTACTCTTATGTTCCAAATTTTCTGCAGTGAACATTATTATTAGTTTTAGAATCAGAAAATAAATTTTATTTAAAAAACAGATACTGTTGGTTAAACACTACTTATGTAGTATCATCCTGGTATCATCCTGCTCCTGGTAAAATGCTGTTTTGTGCAAATGTGGCCACGAGCCATGGACTCTACCAGGTTTCTGCCCACTGTTATGTTAGTAAATATGTTAGTAAAGTATCTTTCAGTAAATTACTCATCTTAGTAAAATCTGACAAGTACTCTAATACAGGTAGCTTAAAGAAAGACAGCACCAAGTTACAACCTGGCAACAAAACATTAAAAATTAGAGTTCTCGTTGTACTTGGGTCCATTAGAGCAGAAAGAACTGAGCTCAGAGGGGGAGTGTCCCCATTTTACAGAACAACGTGGGGAGTGACAAATCACCACAGGGGCCTGACATCTGCACCCCACCTCCAGCAAAATCTGTTACAGGACTCCTCCACCTCAGCGTGGGGCTGCAGTAATCACAGACATTTGGAAGTTGAGGTGTTTTGATTTTTAATTTTTCAGTTTTTTATTTTTTGATTTTTTACAGTCAAGTTATCCAGAGGAGAACGCATACTGCATACTTCATACA